CAGCCGCCGACCAGATTTGGCGGAGGCATCCGGCGAACGACAGATCGCCGCCCCAACAGCAGCGGTCATACCCAAGTATAGTAGGTTTCCCTCATACAGCGGCAGCGGCAGCGGCGACCCACTAGGATGGTTGTACCGCTGCGAGCAATTCGTTCGCAATCAGCGCACGGAGGAAAGGGATAAGGTCAGTCTGGCTGCATTTCATCTGACAGAAGAAGCACAGCTCTGGTTCTACCGGGTAGAGCAGAAGGAACCAGGACTCAGATGGGACCAATTCAAGTCCTATTGCCTCCTCCGGTTCGGGCCCCCATTGACAAGCAACCCATTGGTAGAGTTAATTAACCTCAAGCAAACCGGGACCGTAGCCGAGTACCAATGGAAATTTCAGACCCTTCTCGCTAGAGCCTCCTCAGTACGCCCAAATCAGCAGGTGGATATGTTCACCGCTGGATTAGCCGAGCCCCTGAGAGTCGATGTAGAAACGCAGAGCCCTCCCAACCTGGTCACCGCCATGAACCTAGCTCGCACTTTCGAGCGCAAGCTACAGACCAGCCGAGGATCTTCCAGCATGGGGCGTTCAGCGACTTCATGGACAAACCCGAAATCAACTGGAGGGGGGTCTTCTTTGGCAGCCAGCAGGGAACATAGGCTTCACACAGGTAGCACTTCCAGATCGGCACCCAGCATAGGAAGCAGCATGACGGCACCCCCCATCAAACGCTTATCTAGAGCTGAGATGGCGGAGCGCCGAGCAAGAGGGCAATGCTTCAACTGCAACGAGTTGTACTCAGCCGGCACTGATGCAAGCGGTTATTCTGCCTCCTGGTAGACGAACTGGAGGAAGACGAGGAGGAACCCACAGCACTAGAACCCGAGATCTACCTCCACGCCATCACCAGAATAAAGAACTCTCAAACCATGCAGCTGCGGGCACAGGTGGCAGGGAAACCAGTACGTATTCTGGTGGACTCGGGAAGCACGCACAATTTTGTCAGCGAGCAAGAGGCACTTCAATTGAAACTACCGATGGAAAGCAGACCGCAACTTCAGGTAGCCGTCGCAAATGGGGAGAGAGTTCACAGCCCTGGAATCTACAGGAACATCCTAATATAGGTCGAATTCGAACCCTTCTCCGCTGATTTATTTGTACTGCCCCTGGACGAGTTTGATATAGTGCTTGGAGTTAAGTGGCTCATCACACTAGGCCCTATCCTATGGTACTTCAGTGCCCTAACCATGTCATTCCACCTGAATGGAAAACAAGTCACCTGGCAGGGAACCAGGGTAAAGGCAAAAGACCGCAGGTGCATACTCTCCATGGCAAAACCATGCACACCGCAGAGATGGAGAGACTTCTCACCGACTTCCCGGACGTGTTTCAAGAACCCAAGGGACTCCCACCTGCCCGATCGTGTGACCATCGGATTCCTTTAATACCAGGTTCAGAACCCGTCGTCGTCCGGCCATACCGCTACCCGCATTTGCAAAAAGATGAGATAGAGAAACAGTGTGCGGAAATGTTGAAACAAGGAATCATCCGCCCCAACCGCTCCCCCTTCTCTTCGCCGGTTTTATTGGTACCCAAGCAAGACAACACCTGGAGGTTTTGTGTGGATTACAGAGAACTCAACAACAGAACCGTCAAGGACAAATTTTCGATTCCCGTGGTAGACAAACTACTGGATGAACTCCACGGGTCTCAATACTTCTCAAAGCTAGATCTCAGATCAGGGTACTTTCAGGTCCGGATGGCCACCGAGGATGTGGAAAAAACAGCCTTCCGAACGCATCATGGCCACTTCGAATTTCTAGTCATGTCGTTCGGCCTCACCAACGCTCCATCCACATTTCAGTCATTGATGAACGAGGTATTTCGACCCCACCTTCGCAGATTCGTCCTAGTATTCTTCGACGACATCCTGGTTTACAGTACATCATGGGTTGAGCACGTTCGTCACCTACAAACTATTCTGGAACTACTGTGCCGACACAAACTCTTCCTGAAGTGGCCCAAATGCTCCTTCGGGGAGCACCAAGTCCTTTATCTGGGACATGTAATCAGCAGGCAGGGTGTCTCGGTAGATGGCTCCAAAATCCAAGCAATTCAAGAGTGGCCCAAACCTCAATCCACCAAGACTCTCCGTGGGTTCCTAGAACTGACCGGATACTACCGCAAGTTTGTAAAGAATTACGGACTCTTGGCTGCCCCATTAACCAAGATGTTGAAGAAAAACGCGTTCCGGTGGGATGAAGTAGCGGACGCCGCCTTTGCAAACTTAAGGGATGCACTCTCCTCCACCCCCATGCTGCAGTTACCAAACTTTGACCTGGAATTCACGGTTGAATGTGATGCTTCCGGTATAGGCATTGGAGCAGTACTACAACAGCAGGGACACCCCATAGCCTTCTTTAGCCGCAAATTAGCTGACCAGCATCTAAAGCTACCGGCCTACGAGCGCGAGTTCATTGGACTAGCCAAGGCCGTACAGCACTGGAGGCCATACTTGTGGGGGAGACCCTTCGTCGTCAAGACAGACCACTACAGTCTCAAGTATCTACTAGAGTAGCGGCTTACCACTCCACCTCAATAGCACTGGGCGAGTAAACTG